GGACCACTGCCTAAACTCATTCCACGGGGCTACTCCAACACACTTCAGCAGCTGTGAACAGATTTTTCTTTAAACAGAAGTGCCTGAAGTGTCCATCTTACAATGCCCAAGACTATTACTGATGGGGTATGGGCCCAAGACGAGACTTTTGCCCTTTACCCCCCAAAAAAATTTGGGTCCCATTTGTCTAAGGGATTCTCTTTGAATTCTCCCACTTGATCAAGGAAGTCTCTGGTGAGTTTTTTTTTTTTTCTACCTCAAACCCAATGGATTTATCAATGGATTATTATGATCCGTTAGACAACTCAAAATGATTAAAATCATGAGGTTTTTTTTTTAACCTCAAACAGCAAGTTTCACTAATCACGGCTTAGAAAAAACTTTTCCAGGATTTACATCCTAAATTTAAATTTGTCCTGGTGTAAAAAACCAATTGTTAGAGATTTCTATATACTTACAAATTCTCAGCAAGACAAAACCCAAACAAGCTTTTTGGCAAGTTTACATATTAAAACAATAACCAACAATAGCCAAATTATTTTAGCAGTAACCAAATTATGACAAGTTGCTTGACATAATTCCCTGATGCCAAACAATTAGCTCAACTTTCTCCCACACTTCTGGGGGAACATGGGGAGGTCTGGTGCACAGAGGGAAAAGGGAGATAGGAAGCTTAATTAGAGAAGATTGGCTTCCCAAATTCACCATCAGGTCCCTTCCCAATAAAGGGGCAGGGTAAGAGGAGAGCATAAAGAGCGTGTGCTCAAACAACAGATCCTCAAATAGGCAGGAAAGGGGTATGTCTGGAGACATCCCTTAGTTTTCCCTTCAATGCCCATGACCCAAGGGTCTGGGGGGATGAGTAAAGCCAGAGTATTTAGTTAAAACAGAAAACATAACCATGATAAAGTAGGTAACCTTACCTTCAGCATCGATTTTTTGCCCAGGGCTCAGCAAGAGAGATGGAGAAAGTAGGAGTGCTACCAAGCCCCAGGCTCCCCTGTCATTCCCAGTCTTGAGAAGACTGGACGTTAGGGTACTGGGGGGGGGGTGATTCCACCACTTTTCCAACCTTGGGGACAATCCTTCTTCCTAGTCACATCTTGGGCACGGTTCCAGAGGCATTCATAGAGGGGACTCTGTCTGGGGGGGCACTCCTTGGACCAGTGACCCTCCTGGTGGCATCAAATCAGATTTTCCCACTGCAGGAGTTGCTAGGAACACCCTTGGGTCTTTTTCCAACCAGGGCAGCGGCCAAGAACTGAGCATGTTCTCTATCTCTAGCCCTTTCCCTTCTTTTTCTTTCTTCTGCTGCTATTAAGTCTCTGTTGTTAAAAACTCCAAGAGCTATCTCCAGTAATTGGGCCTGGGGTGTTTGGGGTCCCATTGTCAATTTCTGCAGTTTCCTCCTTTTATCTGGGGCAGATTGATTAATGAAATACATGCTAAGGATTATTGCCCCTTCTATAGAGTCAGGATCTAAATTCGAATATTTTTTAATAACTTCTACTAGCCTGTCTTGGAAAAGGGCAGGGTTTTCCTTTTCTCCCTGAGTAATTTCCTTAATTTTTTGACAATTTACTTGCGTTTGAAATGCAGTTCTCAGGCCTTCTAGCAGGCAAATTACCATATAGCGTCTCTTTCCCCTATCTTCACTCTTCTGATAATCCCATCCTGGGTTAGTAGTGGCAACAGCAGCTGTTCCTGGGGGGTATTTTGTGGGGTCATTGCTAGCCAAATGATCCCCAAATTTTGGGGCTTGTTCCCAGATTCTCCTCTTCTCCTCAGTGGTACAACAGGTGGAGAAGAGAATATGCGAATCACCCCAAGAAAGCTCTAATTGTAGGGACACGTCCCTAAAGCCCTCAGTAAATTTAGTGGGATCTTCTGAGTATCACCCCAGTTTCTCTTTGACCTGAATGAGGTCTGAAATGGAGAACAGAACATGTACCCTAATTGTCCCATTAGGTGAGATAGAAATTTCCCTTAGGGAAAAGGCTTGATGGAACAGTGGGAACTGGGGCTAGGGAGGAAGGGAGATAGGAAGTCCCACTTCTTGTGAGTGAGGGACTGGGGAATGCTGGATGAACTGGACTGGACTGCAAAGCCAGGGGATCTGGCTGGCAAGGGGAAATGTCAGCTGGCACTGGAGGAGGGAGAGGGGTCAGGGGAGGAGATGCCACCTGGGTATGATGAGGTCTAGAGTTTAGGGGTGCTGGGACCCCAAGATCACAACACACAGGTCCTGCCTGAAAGAATTTGATCCAAGTGTTCTTTCAGCCAAAAACAAGATTTATTAAAGATCTACCATATTAGCCAGACTCTTAAGGAATCTGAGCAACTGTGAGCTATTGGCTAGATTGTGAAAATCTGAGGAAAGACTAGATTAGAAGAATCAGAGCATCTTAATGGAGACAGGATGGACCTTATATACAGAAAGACTGTGGGAGGGATCTAGGAGTGGCCAAGTAGTCTATGAGGTAATAGAATTCCAGGGGTGGCCAAGGGAGAATGGAGCCTAGATAGGATTAAGGGTGGGAAGTGGCCAGGGGACATAGGGAGGTCTAGGCTAGGTTAAGGGTAACAGATTGGGCATAGCCACAATAAAAGACCAGTTGATGGGATTATAGCCTCAGGGGAACATCAGAGATTCGGCCAAGTGGGAAAGTCCAGGGTTTTTCCTTTTTGGGATCTAGATCCCATCCTTATCAGGTATTCCTTGTCTCAGGGTAAAGGGCTAGAGGAGGAGGTGCCAAGGCAAGGCCCTTGTCCAAAACCTAAGTAGGGGTCACCCCTGGAGCAGGAGCCTGGGGAGGAAATGCAGGGTAGGATACATGGAAGGTGAACAAGGCAGGTGGGCTAGATGAAAAGGGAAGGAAAACCAAGGGGGGGGGGGCATGGGAAACAGCGGAGGCCAGGGGAAAATGGGGTAGAAATAGGAGCTGGGGAGGTGTTGCTAACAGAGGATGGGAAGAGGGGGGTACTCTAACACTGGGGGCCCTAAAAGGGTCATCTAAAAAGTCTAGTTGATCCCCATTCCCCATTTGTGGGGTGGCTCTAGCTATAAGCATCCTACAATCTTTTCTGAGAACGGGGTCCCGAGAAAGTTCGACAAAAGTTATGTAGGGAATCTCCACCCATTTTCCTTCTCTGCTACAATATTGTTCTAACTCTGAGAGAGTATGTTGCTGTTATGTCCCAAAAACGGGCCATGCCTCATAATTTTCCAGACGATACTGAGGCCAAACAGTGTTGCAAAAGAACACCAGCCTTTTCTTTTTAAGTTCTTTAGAGAAACTAAAATTTCCCCAATTTTGTAAAAGACAGCCCAAAGGAAAATCTTTGGGAATTGAAGAGGATTGACCCTTTGTGGGCATGAGGGCTGGAAGTCCCTCCCTCCTTAAAGGAGGATTTGGGAATAAACTTTGCAAAACAAACAAAAAAAACCCCAGAAGTCCAAAGAAGTATTTTAAGTTTTCCCAAGTCCCTAGTGCTGAGAGAATTGAGAGCTACACTTCTAGATAGGGAGTCTGAAGGTGTGCCGGTCCATGATTGAACAGAATCACTGGACCGAGAGACTGAGAGCATAAGGCTGAGTTTAAGACAGCCTCATAGCTGTCTGACCTAATGGGACCTGAGAGGTCAGGCTCCAAAAGCACTTCCAAGCCAAGCCTTGCTAGGTGCTTGGAAATCCCCTCTCAACCACAGGGCAAGAAAGGGATTAGGGAGAGGGGGGAGGCTTATGTACTTTGCAGTCTTGGCTGGAGAAGAATGTGGGATTTGGTAGTTATTCCCAGTGCAGGGAACCATATGGGATCTAGAAGTTTAGGGGTGCTGGGACCCCAAGATCACAATACACAGGTCCTGCCTGAAAGAATTTGACCCAAACCTTCTTTCAGCCAAAGACAAGGTTTATTAAAGAGCCACCATATTAGCCAGACTCTGAAGGAATCTGAGCATCTATGAGGTATTGGCTAGATTGTAAAAATCTGAGCAGTGGCTAGATTATAAGAATCAGAGCACCTTAACGGAGACAAGATGGATCTTATATACAAAAAGACTGTGGGAGGGATCTAGGAGTGGCCAAGTAATCTGGGGTAACTAGAGGGGGTGGTCTAAGGAGGATCTGGATGGGAGTGGCCAGTAAGCTGGAGTGAACAGAACACCAGGGACCTGTACCACCTGGCCAAGGGAGAATGGAGTCTAGATAGAAATAAGGGTGGGAAGTGGCCAGGGGCAATTGGGTACATTAGAACAGAATTGGGAGATTGGGCATAGTCACAATGAAAAGGCCAGTTGAGTGGATTATAGCCTCAAACAAACACCAGAGATTTGGGAAAAGTCCAGGGATTTTCTTTTTTAAGGTCCAGATCCCAAAGACATGGTCTTTTCCTTTTAGGAGTTCAGATCCCATCCTCATCATTTGGACATGACCAATATGGAAATATGCTTGATTATTTATAGTTGTTGCAGAGGTTTTTTTTTTCCCTTTTTTCCCGGTGGGGGTAAAGAATGTATAAAGGAGAGGAGCTTGTTATTTAAAGAAAAAAAAATTAAAAAATAAACTTGAAAGTGCTATATAAATACTTGCTGCTATTATTCTTTTCCTAATGCCATAAGATTTGCCAGATCTTAGGCTTTTCTGGTATAGCCTTTGAGGCCACCATCAAAGTAGGACCTTGGTGCTGTTCAACCATTTTTTCAGTTGTGTCCCACTCTTTTCTTGAACCCATTTGCTTTGGTTTTGTTTTGTTTTTACAAAGATACTGAGTGGTTTGCCATTTCATTCTTCAGCTCATTTTGTAGATGAGGAAACTGGGGCAAACGGAGATGAGTAACTTACCCAGGACACAGTAAGTGTCTGAGACCAGATTTGAAGTCAGGAAGATGAGTCTTTCTGACTCCAGGCCTGGCACTCTATCCACTATACCATCTAGCTGCCCTAGAACCTCAATGAAGGTCAAGTGAAGCTACAAAGTGGAAAAAAAAAATCCCCCACATTCATTAAACAAATTCAAACTTTTATTTACATTGTAGGATTAGAAAAGAAACAAATTTCCTTGTGTCTTTCATGAACAAAGCTAGGGAAAAACTTCCAGAAGTTTTATCAGCAGTGGTTGGAGAAAAATAGAAAAGTGGATTACCTAAGAGCATGCTGACATCAATAACTCAATTTGCTAATCCCAATGAAACAAAGAACGGAAAAAATATCAGTGCTTTGGCCTCAAAAAAAAAATCATTGTGGTTAATGAAGAGCAACAGCTTGCAGGAATTCATCTTTCCAAATGAAACTCGATGTGAGCACAAAACTGGGTTAGTTTGACTTTCACAATTTGAGTTAATTCTTAACCAGGCTTCACAGTTGTCAGGGTCAGATCATGCCTGACCTTTCTTCATTCATTTCTTCTCTTAGAAACAGTTTCACCCAAAAAACATCAGGGAAAGGGAAAAGGCATCCTTGTGCCCCCAAGAAATAAACCATTCTACTTGGGTCTGGGGTCCTCTCCTATCAGAAGCCTCTGTCAGCTTGAAGATGGCAGTTGTCAACAAAATGTCATTACCAGTGAATGACACCACACATAATCTTGCTCTCTGTTCCCAAACGCTCAAAAGTTATTGATTGACCTATATCTCTAAACCTAGTTTCATTGACAGACAAAAAAAAAGGAAAAGAGATAAGCTTGGAAAGAAGCAAGACTGATAGCAATTCTATAATTATCTTATTGGTATGAAAAATAATAACCTGCACTGGTTTCCTTTCATCATTTTGGCTACAACTTGATCATTTAGCAACATCTTCAATGTTGGTTTCATGTTGCCCATAGATATTCAGGCCCAGCTTGTCTTAAACATGAATATATTAATATCGATGCTTCAGAATTTGAAAAATCTGGCTACAATGCAATCAAGCTCCCCTTCTAACTTTTCCTTTCTCATTGTCCTCTTTTTCACCTACTTCTTCCTCTCATTAAGGTTGCCATTAAGCTAGAATTAATCAGAAAAACCTGAAAGTTGAGACCTCCATCTGGTGTTCATGAGGCCCACCTGGGTATAGGTGACATTTTTTTAAAAAGTTTGCAACATTCGTGTATTTTTAGTTCCATTGATGCCAATAGGCTATTCTTGGGTAGGGGTGAGGCCCATCAGATAGTGTTCCCATACCAAAACAATTACATAGATAAAATCAAGCTAAAATAAAGTCACAGCTTTTTAAAGTACTAACTTTTGAGTGTTTGTGTGTATACACAATTCAGGTTTGGGGATTTGGATTTTGTTTTTTAAGAACCATCTGGAAATATCACTTTTCTGCTACCTTACTTCAAAGATTCTAAATTCTGGTTACTAATAATAAAGCCAAACTCTTCACTTCTAACTTCCCTTTTCCCATCAATCTCATTACTTTCTTTTACTTCTCTATTATCTCTCATTTTTCTTCTCTCTTTTGCCCTCTTCTTCTATTCGTTCTCTATCTCTGTCTCTCCTCTACTTCCTGGTTACTTTCTACAACTCGGACCATTTCCATAATGGAAAGCCAGAATCCCCATGTTTTAACTGTCCTGCCCTGACCCAGCCCCAACTTGTTCCCAATCCAAACTAGCTCAGTCTTTCATGTGTACTCTCCTATCTTCAATAGAGAGTAAAAACAAAGAGACTCTCAGTAGAAATGATGGAAGAATAGTAAAAGGGAGATTTAGCATCCCCAGTAGGGCATTTCATCTGCACTAATCAGATAACAAATGGAGCTGTTCCAGTAGAGGTATGGCAACCCTTAAACTGGCTGGGTTAGACTGGCAAAACACCCCCGGCAGACCTTCAGATTAAACCAGGAGCCTGTCAAACAACGAGTGACCTTCCTGAAACCTCCAGGCTTTGTACTGATCTCACCTTTATACATTTATTCAATGCCACTAGCCCTTCCAAGCCAAAGAGATACTTAGTTGATCATAGGCAATTCTTAAATTTGAATGATATCAAATTCAAGAATGCTGCTTTCAAGATATCTCATTCTTCAAAATTCATTGGCCCCTTCTACTCTTTTTCACAATGGTAACTAAGCTTTCGGCAACAGAAAAAAACCAGCAGAAGTCTGTCCTCAAAATGAGGTCATTTGCATTGCATTGCCCAGGAATTTCTTCGACAACAGGATTCTAGGTATTGGGTAAAAGTTGTTTATCAACTCGAGATTCACTCAGGATCACCAAGCATCCAATTCTCTGTCAAAATTTCTCCCCATCTTAATTCACTGAGAGTCTCCTTCCTATTAAATTCAGCCTCTTGGATTCTGCCTTTCTTGTGGCTCTCCTTCAGGCTACTGAGCCAGAGACTCAGGATTTAGCAAACCAATTTTTCTATAACTGAGAATCTTGTCTAAGAGAAACCTCAACTCATCCTTTTGGTCCTATATTTCATTGGACGTGCTTCCCTTTGACCAGGATTCCATTGACGGCAGGACGCTCCAAAGATGAAAAGCACCAGAAAGCAGGGAAGAGACTGATTCATTAACACCTCTCATCCCCCTCCACAAGAAAAGTCAGTGTTTTTTCTCTCTAGTCCCAAGTAGTTTCTGGGTCAAAGCCCATGATGTGTTCTTCGCAGGGTGCTAGGGTCAACGTTCTCTCATAGTACACGACCTCCATGACTTCTTTTAGCGAACCAAGGAAAGGACGGTGGCTGACGCTGTAAAGGGTGATGAGTAAGCTGTGGCAAGTTCTTGCAAACCAATGACAAAGTACCGGCATCCTTTGGTGATCACTTTCCCAACATTCTGTTTTTAGAGAAAGAGAAAAATTATTAGTCAGTATTTAAAATAGTGATGCAATGGATAGAATGCCATCCCTGGAGTTAGGAGGACCTGAGTTCAAATCCAGCCTCAGACATTTACTAGTTGTGTAACTCTGGGTAAGTCACTTGACCATTTGCCTCAGTATCCTCATTTGTAAAATGAGCTAGAAAAGGAAATGGCAAGCCACTCCATTATCTTTGCAAACAAACAAACAAACCCCAAATGGGGTCACAAGGACTCACTTAACAGGGAGGAATTAGTTAATGTTGCCTGGCTGCCTGATACTAGGTTAGTCACTTGACCTCTGAGTTTCTTTTTCTACATATATAAAATGGGTGTAACGACACTTATAATCATTTCGAAGCCCTGTCATAACCATAAAGTGCTGATATAAATATTAGTTTCCTTCTTTCTTAATCTCTCTCTCATATATTCAGACTGATCTATGATCTCATCAATTCCCAAGTTTCCCCCAACAATGCAGATCACAACCTACACCTGCCCATCCTGAGTGACTTTCATCCATATCCTCTCAAAGTTCCCCACTGGTGACAACCCAGTGTGACAGAGGGGCTCCTCACTTTCCCACGACACTGAGAGGAGACCAGGGGAACACTCTGACCATCGATCTACCCATCCCATCATCCTTCGCTCTCACTATGTTGCCAGCCCATCTCTTTCTGTCCTGTAATTCTTTGATGACATCCTTTACTCCTGTTTTTTCTTCATAGTTCCACCCCACAGAAGCACGTACCCTGTTCACATTCACTATGCAATTTTTCCATTGCCTTTTGTCTCAGTTGCTAAGTCTAATAAATAACAAGCATTTATTAAGAGTTTACTATGGGCCAGGCACTGGTGTTCTACGTCTCAACGGAGATAAAATGTTTGAATTGAAAAAACGAGCCTTTGCTATTATGGAAGCTTGGGTCAGTAAAAGTACTTTGAATTTTCCAAAAGTAATCCAATCCAGCCCACTTTTTTCTTCTTTATAAACTCTAGGCATAGCTCATTATATATCTATACTGTGTGTCCCAGACAGGGGTGTGCTGAAGCCAGCTGGAACCTGCAGCTTGCCAGTTAATTGTTAAACTTCCATTGTGAGCATTTATTTACACCTTAGGAATCAGCAAATACCACAGATCAGGGCTTGCAGTATTGTTTTGTTGATTGACTAGACTTAGGAAAGTGACAGTAATGCAGATTAAAACTTAAAACTGTGTCTGTATACTCCCTCCCTGCCATGTTAAGCTTTTACTAGCACACCCCGGTATTACTCTATAAACATTGCTAGAGGGCAGGAGAAGGCTCAGGAAAGGAAATCAAGACCAGAATGCAGGCCTGATCACAGCAGGCTAATGGTGAAGACTGATAACAGTAATAATTGGTATTTCTATAGAACTTTAAGGTCTGTAAAGTGTTTTGCATCCATATCTCAATGGAGTCTCATGAGCCCCAGTCCCAGATACACATTCTGTTAGACCTACCTGTTGTTGTTCAATCAGTCCTACTCTTTGTGACCCCACTTGGGGTTTTCTTGGCAAACATACTGGAGTAGTTTTGCCATTTCCTTCTCCAGCTCACTTTACAGATGAGGAAACTGAGGTAAACAGGGTCAAGTGACTTGTCCAGGGTCACACAGCTAGAAGTGTCTGAGGCCAGATTTGAACTCAGGATGAACCTTCCCGATTCTTAGTTCAGTGCTCTATCCCCTATGCCACCCAGCTGCCCAGACCTTCACATAGAAGCGCTTCATAAAATACTTGTTGACCTGACCTGAGGACAAGCTTGACAAAAAGTGCTTGGCGAGATTGAGTAAATGGAGTCAATTTAAGGGTGTTCAAGGATGAAAATGGAAAGAGTTTAGTAGCTTCTTATCATTAAAAATGAACCAAGAGCCAGAACCAGGAAGGAAAGGTAGGCCTAGGGTGTGACATGTATGAGTGTGCGTAACGCAGAACCCTACTTAAACATTCCTTTTTATAAACATGCATATTTGTAATGCCAGGAAATTTCAGGGTCCACGGAGGATAAATATTTTCCGTACATAAACTCTACATTGATTGAATTCTATTTAAGGTAAAAGTGACTTAAGAATTCAGGGTTTGGGGTTGTTTTCTTCCCTTTCTCTCTCCCTCCCCCAAGTTTTGGTGATCCCACTGTTATCGAGTCACATCCCAACTCATTTTTTAAAAGTAATCCACATTGAGTAAGCATGACTGAAATGACTAACAACCACAAGTAAAGGTAGGGTAGAGGAGGAAAATGGTATGGAGGGATACAGTTTTGGAATGATCTTGCAAAGCTAAAAGGAGACATCTTACGCGTGAAGCAACAAAATAATTTTTAAATTTATTTATAATTTTTTTTTGGTAAGGCAATCGGGATTAAGTGACTTGCCCAGGATCACCCAAGCTAGTAAGTGTCAAGTGTCTGAGGCCGGATTTGAATTCAGATTCTCCTGAATACAGGGCTGATGCTCTATCCACTGCACCATGTAGCTGCCCCAACAATTTTTTAAAATATAAAGAAAAGCAGAGAGAAATCCTTTTTAATGTTGAGCTACTAAAATCAAAGATGGCTTATATTTATTTCCTTAAATTTTGTTTTGTGACATGTCATCTATATTCTTGGCTTATTATCTCTTAAGAAGGATTTATCATTTCATCTTTGCCACTACCAAAAATACCACTAAAATAACTCATTTATTGGAGCGATGTCAAAACACAGCTTTGAGATACGTAGAATAAAGACATGTAAAATATCTATCTGCCAAAATTTATCTCAATGCCATCCAGAGAGAATAGCTTTTCAGTTTTTGGATCAAAGTGAGAGAAATTCACTCTCATCATTACTGATTTCCTGGGAATAGAATTTGTGTATGTGTTGGGAGCAGAGTGGGTAGACAGTAGGCAAGGCTGTCAGCTAATTCTTTTTTGGGAGGGGAAAGGTGAAACACAATATTATTTCTATTCACAAGGACCTTGGAGAGAGAAATTAATCAAATAAATAGGAAGGAATTCTCCCCAAACTAGGAATGATTAGAATGCAGTTTTCCAGCACAAATGGTCAAAAACTTGACTTAGAGGGCCAGAATGGGCTTCACATATATGAGGAAAATGATATATTCTATGGAAGCATGATGGAATATTGGGACAGAAGGGGAGGGGGGTCCTTGCCCCCAATGAATTCAGCAGGATTTGGAGGCTCCCTCCCCCTCAGGTACAATTTGAAAGCTGCTCTGATATTGTGGGAAAAGAAAAGGCAAGAAAGGAGCAGCTAGGTGGTGCAGTGGAGAGAGCACTGGCCGTGGATTTAGGAGGACCTGAGTTCAAATCTGGCTTCAGACATATAACACTCACTAGCCCTGTGACTCTGGGCAAGTCATTTAACTTCAATTGCCTCACCAACAAAAAAAAAAAAAAAGGCAAGAAAAAGCTTATCTCCACAAAAATGGCTTTAAACAGCCTTGGGAAGAAAAAAAAATTGCCAGGTGTTATTTTTATTCTGAAAGTATATTATAATGTATAACCTATATCAAATTGTTTACTGTCTTGGGGAGGAAGGAGGTGAGAGAAGGAGAAAGAAAATTTGGAACTCAAATTTTTTTTTTTCTAAATGAATGCTAAAAATTTGTCTTTACACGTACCTGGGGTAAAATAATATTTTTTTTAAAAGGAAGTACATTATATAAGGATTTCTTTCAGTTATGTTACGGATTCTATAGAGGTTCCTTCCAACTTTAAGTTCTGAGTCAGCAGCCATGAGGCAGGAGACCATGAGAAAAGGATGGGCTTGGCCTGAATTTGGCCTCCTAAACTACCAGAGAGGACCCACAACTGATATAAAAAGTCCCAGACTAAAAAATACACCAAGAAGCCATTTCTTCCATCTAAGAAAACAAATGCCATATTTTTTAAAAAGCCATAAAAGACAAATAATCATTATCAAGCTAACAAACCCATTTAGAGGGGGGAAATCACCTGCTAGTTTCCTCCGGACATGAGCTTTTTCTGAAGTTCAGATTCTGTGTTTAGTTACAGAAGTCCACGGAGGAGGCTTTAGCTGTTGGGGGTTAACTGGAATTTGTTTCTTTTTCTGAGGCTGCAGTTCTTGACTTCTCAGTAGAAATGGTAATTAAATTCAACTGCCCTTTCCTCTGTTACACTGATTACCATTTGAGTGGAATTACAGAAATGAAAGTCTAGGAAATCCACTGTCTCCTTAACCACAGTTGTGGGGAAATCTGGTGCTCATGGAGGAAAGCTACCACCAGAACCAATAGTATAGAGAGATTCAGGGTCTTCCTCAGCCTGGTGCAATCTGGGTACAAACAGAAGAGTCAGAGAGAAAAAGGTAATTTCTGTTTCTTGCTAGTTGATAAATAACCAGTTAACCCCCTTATGTTGGGACTTCACCCATTCTATTTCAAAAAGGGAAACAGCTCTAAATGAGGGAACTATATTATTTCTCCACCACCACTACTCCAAAACACACAAAATGAGGAAGACTTTTGATTTTAATCCTGTGAGGCAGGTCATAGGACCATAGATTTAACTTAGGGGCAGAGTCACATGGGTAGAGAGTCTCTTTCCAAGGCCAGTATTCTTTCCACTTCACCATGCTGCCTGCCTAGAGGTGCTATAGACATTATTTTCATTTTACCAATGAAAAATCTGAGACTCAGAATTGCCCAATATCACATAAATAGTAAGTGATGGCACCTGGACAAGATCCTCAGTCTTCTGGCTGAAAGTCCAGTGGTCTTTCTACTTCACCAAAGCTGCTACTCAGGGGCTCTAGTTTGTTCATATTCTCCTTCCACTTAATTGCTTCATTTAATTAAAATCTGGACACCTCTACTTTAGTCCCTGGCTTCCCCAAGCCCATCAGTGGTAAACTTAGTTTTCAAAAGAACAGCCAGGGAAAGACTTCCTCTTTTATGCTTGTACTCTTGTCTTTCTTTTCTTACCCTGAACTGG